ACAGCTTCTCTGAGATAGTTACCCAGAAGTGGGATTGTTAGATTGTATGGTGTATGTAAACTTGATTTGACCAAGTTGGCTAGACTGCCCAGCAGCCACACTGGTTTCCTTCCCAGGCTACCCTCCTACATGCCACAGGGGAGCAGTCTTAAATCCCAAAACCTGGTCAACCACTGGCCCTATCTGCTTTCTAATTTATTGTCAGTCTAATAGTTGTACAGTGATACCTCATTGCTTCTTTAATTTGCATTTCTCTGATTACTCATGAGTTTGAAAGGGATTTCAGAGCTCTGTTAGCATAGTTAAGATGTGAAATGCTTAGAACAGTAACTGGCATAGGCCCAATAGGGTGTTGTTATTGCTCTGTAATACAAGCATCATTTACATGATGGTTGATTTAATGTTGTCCTAATGTAAGACTTCCATTCTTGTGATGACTTCTAATCTTGAATTTCATATCTGTTCATTGCTCACCTTTTAGTATAGGACTCATATCTGTCTACCATATACTTGTCTCCATTTCTGCTCTCCCCACTTGGTTCGTGTGCCCCTTCAGCTAGCCTCCTGTGGTCTCTACTTTCACTCTGGACACCTTCTCTATGCACCACTTCTCTCTGCTCCAGCTGAGAGGGATCTTTTTTTTGAGAGGGCATCTCTCATATTTATTGATCAAATGGTTGTTAACAACAACAAAGTTCTGTATAGGGGAGCCAATGCTCAATGTACAATCATTAATCCATCTCAAGCCTAATTCTCGTCAGTCTCCAATCTTCTGAAGCATAACGAACAAGTTCTTACATGGTGAACGAATTCTTACAGAGTGAATAAATTCTTACATGGTGAACAGTACAAGGGCATTCATCACAGAAACTTTCGGTTTTGATCATGCAATATGACCTATAAACCATCAGGTCAAATATGAATATTCATTTGATTTTTGTACTTGATTTATATGTTGATCCCACATTTCTCCTATTATTATTATTATTTTTATTTTTAATAAAATGCTGAAGTGGTAGGTAGATGCAAGATAAAGGTAGAAAACATAGTTTAGTGCTGTAAGAAGGCAAATGTAGATGATCAGATGATCAGGTGTGTGCCTATGGACTAAGTATTAATCCAGGCTAGACAAGGGCAGCAAGACATCCACGGATGCAGAAGATTTCTCTCAAAGCAGGGGGGGTGAGGTTCTGAGCCTCACCTCTGTTGATCCCCAATTTCTCACCTGATGGCCCCCCTGCGACTGTGCCTGTCTTAGGTTTTTCCTCCCTTGAGGAATCTGACCCGTCTCTGGCTAACCAGTCATCTTCCGGGGCCATACAGGGAAATGTAAAGTTGGTAAGTGAGAGAGAAGCCATATTGTTTGAAAAGGTTAGCTTTTTACTTCTTTGCAGATTTATGCCCTGTGGCTTCTATGCCCAGCATTTGTCCTGAGGTATCTTTACCACTTTTATATCTTTGATATAATATGATATAATATGATCTTTGATATAATATGATATAATATGATTGATCTTTTAAAACTCCTTCCTGTCCATGGCTTCCATTTCTCTTTGGATAAACCCCCCCTACAGCCTGCAGGAGCAGCCACCGTCCACCCAGTTGGTCTGCTCCTGATCCCAGCTGCTGTCTTTCTGCCCTCCAGCCCTGCTGGTTGGTCCTCAGCGCCTTCCATGTGGAACGATTTGCTGGCTGCCCCTCTCCCCACCAAAGTCAATTCCTTTTTAATACTCAGAGTTCAGTTTAAAGGTCATTTCCCTGATCCTGAGACTAGATCAATTCTCCATTTACCCTTTCAGAGCTCTTAAATGATCGATAATCAAGTGATCAGTTCTCCAATGATCTAGTTAAAAGCCTTCTGCCTAACCTGACTGCCTTGAGGGAAGGGACTACCGCTGTTTTGTTCCCTGTATTTGAACACTTGGCACAGTGCTCCATGCTCCATGGAGTGGATGTTGAGCAACGAAGACCCCTTTATTGCAGAATAGTTTTAACCAAAAACAGCCAGAGTGAAATATAGTCCTTAGACAGTTGAAGGAGCACAAGACCCTGTGGCCCAGGTGGCGAAGGCCCTGGCTGGCCTGCCTCTGTGGCTGAGGTATTTATCTCAGGACAGCCAGCAAAGCAGCCTCAGAGAAACTTGTGACTCACATGAGGGGAAAAGACAGAAGCCTCTGTGGAAGATAAAAGCACTGGGTCTTGATAAATGATAAAGTACAACCAAAAATGTAAAATTTTATTTTGGACAAGATGTAGATGCTTTTAAGAGTACCCAATTAAAATGAAATAAGGAAATCAAATCAGCAAGGAAAATAACTCTTCAAAAGGACAGGCACCATTCTGACTCAGCTTACAGCCTTTATTAATCAAGTTCTGTGTCTTTCCCTCTAAAGACTATGTACTGGCACTTCGCATTGCCTCCATTTATTTTTTTTAAAACCGTTGAGTCAAATAACATTGTAAGTACTTTATTTTAAATATGTACAATTATATCAATAAGGAAGACTTTTTTGAACAGCAAATAAGTGTATAGCAAGTAAATATTAATGTGAAGGTTGGTGGTTCTCAGAATTTTTCTCAATAAACATCTTCTCTAGGGGATGGCATCAAATTCCATGGCTTCAACCACTGTCTCTACTGAATCTGCTTCTCTAATGTCCTGCTGCCTCCTGGGTGTCTCCAATGTCTCTGAGCACCAAAGACTGTACCCATCAACTCCGCTTCCTGCTCTTTTCATGAATGGCCTCACCGCCCTCCCTGCTCACCCCGCAGCTGCCAGCCTACAGGAGGTCCCTGATTCCTGTGTGGAGACTTGCACTTAGGGGCCCCATAAGCGGACATGGTGGGCAGACTCCCAGGTCCTTGTACAGCAGGCAAGAGGGCCCCAGGGCTGGTGCAGCAAGTGACTCAATTCAAGGCTTAGAAGCTGCTGGTAAGCAGCTGTGCTGCCTCCTGGAGTGTTAGCTGTTTGTGGGTGTCGGTTTGGCTGGGGGGGGGCCATGTGCAGCAAGCCTACGGTTCCGTGAAGACACTGGAGCTCAGCAGTCTCGGAGACGGGCCATGGGGTACCTTGTCCAGCCCCTTCCATGCAGGTCTCACTTCACCCTTTAACCGCTCATCATTTACTTCTGGCCAAAGCTCCCAAAACAGAAGCAGCCCCGACAGGCGTCAGTGTTACTCTTTCCACAGCCTATAAGCTGGGCCAGGCCCGGGTTCCCAGCAGAGTTCTTTCTCTCCCTCAGGTCTGTAGGTTTTACTAGTCATCAAAGTAGTGCACACACACTGAACGTTTACCCCGGCCCAGGCACTGTTGAAACCCTGTTGATGCTGTACCTTACTCTTCAGAGCACCCGAAGTGCTGCGGTCAAGTGTACTTCACTGGGGCTCTCAGACTCCTAGGTCAAGTTCCAAGTCCTTCTCATAAAAAAATGAGGCTTTCCTTGACCTTGCGCCAGCCTCCCAGACAGCTTTTTTCCTGGCTTTGCTGCCTGCCCTGGGATGCCAGCCTTATACTCCATGCCCACACCTTTGCCTGGCCAGCAGCTGCCCTCAAAGAATTAGTCCAGGCCTCACTGGCTCTAGAAAGCCTCCCTAAACCTGGCACCACATGTCTGCAGTGTCGGCCAGAGCTGCACTAGGGCTCTGTGACGGACTGACCAGCTTGTTCCACACAAGCAGTGGTTCCTGGTAAGGCTAGACCAGACATTCTGCTGCTTCATATGTCCCCCATGCCTGGATACTGGGTGGCCCACTGCAGATGAGATGAGCTTGTATGAACTTTGTAAATTGAAATCAATGTTTCAACTAAATCAGAACTCGTCTCGAGATTGAAATGAGCCCTAAGCAAACTGCTGAGTGCTTCTCCTCCATTTTCTCTGCAGAGCACATTTAAATTGCAGTTTCAACATGAATAATTGCCACAGAGTCCTGTCCCTCCATTTCCTAATTTCCCAGAATTTTTAAAGAATCTATAATAGGAATGGATGATCGCTGGTCTATTAAAATAAGATAATCCTGTTTGGTTGTTTTCTGGAGCTAAGATTCAAGTGAAATTGATGTTTCCAACTCTAACTTAAGACTGTAGGAGAAGACTTGAGCCCCACGCAGTAGAAAGTTCCCTTTCCTCTCTAGAAAATATTCCTTTTACTGAGTGACCATATTGCTTAGAAAAAACATGATGGCAAATAATTATAAAGTTCTTCTGAACAGTTTAAATTGTTTCAATGATAAGGTTATTTATTCTCTAAAAATATGCACTGGAATCAAAAGTTTAAAAAGGCTAAACATGCATTTCTAAAGTTCAGAAGTATACCTGCCTGTGAAAACTGCAAAAGACAGACTGACCATAACAGCTGAGCCCTCAGTATTGGTAATTCATCCTGCAGGCCCATCTGCAAACCCCACCTCTGGCCTCAGTGGTAGGTCCCCTCTGCTTGCCCCCTGGTGGGGTGCAGCTGCTTCCCTACTGTCCTTTGGACCTCAGCTGAGATCTCCTCCTCCCAGGTGCCATCCTTGACCAACAGTAAAAGTAGCCACTGCTTTCTTCACCTATCATATCACCACCTGAAAGCCCATTATTTATGCTGGGTGCACCTTTGTCATGGTGACCATGAGTGGCACAGGGGGCTTTCCCTTGTCTCTCTTGCTGAAGCAGCCCAGAACCCGGGACAGGGTGTGGGGACGCAGTGCAGAGTTTGGGATGAAGGAACTCATTCCACAGCCCTGTGTACGCATGTGTCTCACCTAACTGCTCTCAACTTCCAGCCTCAACACAACCATTTCCCTTTCTCAGCCTTCCTCTTTGTGAGTAGGCATCACACTAGCAAGCAGTGTGGCATGGTTAGACCAAAATTTAGATGTTTTCTCCTTCTAAAACATGTTTTATTTGGATAAATACTACAGCTACCATTTGCATGTCATGTTATGTTATGCCAAGATTCTTTTTTATGAACATGTTAACAGAGCTTCAAGTAAGCTAAGATTCATTTTCTGTATTTCAGGTTAATCCAAAGACAGGACGTAGAGTTGACCTGGTATTTACCACGGAGCTCTATAACCCAGAGGTAAGCTGCCATCATTAGTGCAGTGTACTATTTGCAACTCATATGAATTTATTTTTCAGGTGAGAATCTTTATATAGTGACCTAGAGGTTTACTTCTGTTTTAATCCCATTTTGTTTTCTGTTTGCTCTAGAGTCTAAGAACAGATCTAGGCAGGAGCTCAAAGATTTAACTCCTTCAACTTCATGGCCTTATGGAGGGTTGTTTAAAACAGTCCACAAAGCTGTCATCCCCTCCTTCCTGTGTCCTGGGAGGGAATCTCATAGCTCCCTTTGGTATCCCTTCCTAGCACCTCAGAATCCTTAGAATGACTGTTTCAAATGCCAGCCTGCTTCCTCTCCCTGCCAGCTGGTGACATTTCTCGTTAGCAGGCCAGCAGTGCCTGCCGGAGTCCAGCTCCAGCCTAGGGGTAGGATGCCCGAAGGTGCAGGACAGAGTTGGCGTATGGAGAGACAGAACACGGAGTCAGTGTAGGAGGTTTCTCGACAAAGTGCCGATGACAACTTTATTTATACCATTTTGCACAAGGATATGATTATTTTTTATTATTCTGATGATTAATTAGTATAGGCAGAGTTGGTTAATAAGTATAGGCAAGCTTTTTTCTTTCTTTTACTTTCTAATCTATTCATGGTTGGTCAAGCATTAGACAGGTGATTGTTTTTGTGTTCTTTGACTGAAACTTTTCTTATTAACATGTACTCTATTGTGTTTTACGTTTCTATGCAACACAGTTTCTAAGTAGTGCATGTGACTGTAGGAGCGTGCAGTATGTAGCAGCGACTATGGAGTTGATCAGCTCAGGGTGAAATACAGGTCACCTAGTGCCACAGTTAGCTAGGATTCTTTCCCACAAAAATATTTTTAGAGGCTTTAATAAATTTATAATCAATCTAAAATCATAAACTCATATCTTCACCTTATATGCCTTTATAGGGCACAGTAGGCAGCAAACTAAATTTCTCCTTCTTATCTACATTTCTCTTTCTTCTGTGTAGATATCAAAATCTCCCTGACATATGCTACACAGGTCTCCATGTCTCCACTACTGCAGGGACTAAACAAGTTCTTACATGGTGAACAATGCAAGGGCATTCATATCATAGAAACTGTTTCTGTTTTAACTACAAACTTTAAACTATAAACAATCATGTAAAATATAATATATGATTATTCATTTGGTTTTTATACTTTATAGGTGAATCTAATAAAATGTTAATGTAGTAGGTAAATGCAAGATATAGATAGAAAGCATGATTTAGAAATGTAAGAAGACAGGTATAGATGATCAGGTTTGTGCCTACAGACAGG